AGACAGTACCGTGCTTTTATATTGAAATAAAAGGGTTCGATTTTCATGAAAAAATATAAGGGTTTTTTTTAAAGAAAACTGACCTCATCATCTTGATCTTCATGGTTTCAAACCCATATGAGTGAATTTTGAAGGCTTGCAAAAAACAGCATTTATATATGAACGTGATAATTATTCACTCGAAAACGGTGGGTTCTTTTTTTTTTCTTTCATATCATGATTTTTCACCTACCAGAGCTATTGAACGTTACAAAATTTGCAGTTAGTTTGAATTCACTATTTTTTCGTGCCTGAAAATTAAAGAGAATGAAGCCAATCCTGTTAATTTGGAATTAGGAGATTTTTGGCTTTGAAAGCATGTGAAACAATAATATGAAGTTACCCCTATTCATTTGAATAAAAAAGCATGACACTGTCCAAAAGGATGTTCATCTCTGGAAGATTATTTATCAAAATGATGGTTATTCATATACCAGCCCAAATTTTATACGAATCGCACGACTAATAGCTGAGATATTGAGACACGCTGTATATACACTTTTCGCTTAAGAATCACTCAAATAGTCGCCATTGAAGTTTGGTCACATGCTCAAATAACACCCTGTATTTTATTCTCGTATTTCCTAATAATCTTATTGATTTAAATCAACGTGCCTTGAGTATATTGTTTTGATATCGAAATGTGGTATAGTGAGAACTTAATTTCCAATAAACATTATATTAACATAATTTGTTTTATTACATCCGCTTGTACACCTACAGTTTTGTAGAAATTGGAATTTTATATGAATATTCAAGATAGGATTTGATATAACAATAATTTTGTCAGTTCCAGTTCATCATTCTTGAATATTGATGGATTTCAAAAGCTTTCTTGAATGGTCCGATCAACCTTACTGAAGATTGACTGATTAGAGAAGTAGTTTTTTTCTAGGAATTAACATTTTCACAACCTTTTTAGAGTCTGCCAAATCAGAGGCCACTATCCTGAGCAATATCGAAAAATGAATCAACATAAATTATTTTCTATTCATTCATTAATTTTGTAGGTACTTGATAGAAATCTATATTAAACATTTCGATGGAATTTCACAATTGTGTGCTTTCTAAGATAATTTTCACAATTAATGTGCTCAACAATAGAAAGGGTCTTCATTGATATTATTCGGTTGCCTCAGATACGTACCAATCAGAATGTTCGTCGAAAATAGAAGCTGGTTCAAATACATTTCTATAACCGAGGTCGGTTCATTCCAGCTGTTCTTCTTGAAAAAAATTACAGCGTCCTATAATAATTTGCTTGTGATTTTTCTTCTTTATATTCCTGATGTATATAGAATGTTCGGTATCCATTGTAGATGTTCCAAAAAATACCTATAATCAGCAATACGGAATCAAGTTTTCGTTTTCTGAGAGATTGTATTGTGTGTGAGTTTCTGGACCCTTTAATTCCAAAAATATCGACAAATATTCAATTTGAATTGAGATCTGGAGTGGACTGAGGGAAGACCTGATGATGTGCATATATACAGTGTCTTGCAAAAGTCTGGGAACGGTCTCATATTTCAGATATTGCTCGGAGAAAATTCATTGAATTTTAAACAGGATGAATGTGTCAGTTTAACAAAATAATCCTCTAGCCTCGCGATCCGATTATTTCAACTGTTAAACTGACACTCTTTGTAATAATTATGCAACAAGTTATCGATGCATAACCGGAATATTTTCTCATATTATTACTACTGATAATTTTCTTCATATCCCATAGCAAACATCGAACTACCGCGAGAAGTCCGGCCTAGTGCGGGAAAGTCTGGGAAAGTGACGATGCCGGAGTTTCTGAGAACGTCTACATCAACAATCAACTGATCATTTGGATCATCATAATATGAGACTCTATTGATAGCGTATGTTTGGTTTTTCTCTGGTTTGTAGTCGAATGGGCGTGTACACCTTAGTAAAACTTTTAACTCAAACCATGTTTATAATGATCCATTTATACATAAATAATGATCGACGACATAATTATTCGGTCGAAAAATTAACTGGAATGTTTTATTCTTGGACATGAATAATAGTACTTTCTGAAAACGGACCTTCTTATGACGTAGAAACCTAATCTCGCCATAGTTAATAGAAAATACCAAACGCCCGACGGAGACTGAGGCAACTGATATATTAATTCTTTCAACTGTGATCTCGCGCTAATTCACTCTGTCAGAAATCATGTATCATTCATTTCTGTCTGGAATAGTCTTGTTTCAGTATTAGGGTTCTGACGTCACATCATCGCCTTGTTTTCAGAGGTCCGAAAAATCGGGGATTTCAATAATTTTTTATAAAACGTAGGGAGCTCACAGCAAGAAACGGTTTGCGGTGGTGAGCTAGTTTGGGTGAGTTCTATCGAATTATGAGATAACATTTTTTTGTGATATAAGCCCATTATAGTGCTGCTCACTTTCCCCGGTCGTTATATTTATGATGACAGGAATATTCTCAATTGATAATATAGAAGATGGATTCTTCAATTATGATAATATTGAGTGAGTATCAACTATCTAGTGTTTCATATTTCATTATGAAATGCATGTGTTTTGGTATCTCATAACCTAGTGATTATAATAATTGTGGCTCTTCCTCACCAGAAGCATAACTATTATGTTCAACTCGTTAGTTGCTATCAAAAGAAATGTAAGGTTATGTTAACCTGTATCTATTATTGAAGTAAATAAAAATAAGGTTGCAACCATAGAAATGCCTGTGCCATATTTTATCACGTTTTCAGACTACATTGATCAAATTATTAACTAATGCAACAGTATATCGTTTCTGATACTCCTATGGGGAAAGAATTCTAATATCAAGAAAGGCCACTGATAACTGATGAAGAATTTTATATTTCAATAGTACCTACCTCGCAACGAAGCATTCATTTTGGTGGAATGCTACCCAAATAAGATTCAGATGCAGATACTCTGAGAAGTTTCATCATGGAAGAAGAGAGAGGTTAAGAAGATATCATTGTGTCATTCATACATTTTTTCCTTGAAATCTGGTATGTTTCTGTTTGATTTGATATACGATGAGAGGGTGACAATAAAAAATATTGAGGGACTAGAATGTTCAGATCCATTGAACCCCTAACCCCTACCCACCTCCCCTACCTTGATAACCAATGTCGATAATTGGCCATTACAGTCCCATCATTCATGAATGTGCTGGGCTTGCTATGGGAAACTTGATGTGTCGATTTTGTTGCACTGGCCTTTTGCCGGGGAACTAAATATGATTGCTGGGTACCCAGCAATGGGACCAGCTGCCGGCCGCAGTGTATTGATATACAGAGTCCCGCATATGGGACCATTTACTGGGCCACTGATATCAGGTATAGGAAAATATATTAGGCCATTAATGCCTCATCTTGAAATATATGCTGGCATGATCTCAAACCAATCGAAACGTTCAATTGAGTTAAGCTACCTTGTATAATTTCGTATATCGTAGATATATATACATAGTGTAACTCCACCAATCAGAAATTTTGGATTATTTCCATAGTGACCGATTCTGAAATTGCATCAAAATTGTTCTTATCGATCATTTGGTTGCTCCTTTACGAGCAACCCTCAAAAGTCTTCAAGAGACTTCGAGCAAGAAATGACGGGGGTCTCACGTTTTAACGTTTGATGCCAAACATTTTCTTTGGCCATCAGGAGAATGTCTGCGGTCGTGGTGGGAATCGAACCCACCTACCGGCAATCCAACGTGGATAGAATACTGACGCTTCAACCACGATGCTACGCTGGCCATTCATATCGTTACTATCAGCAATAACCTTTCTTGGGAAAATCACGTGAAATCAATTACTGAAAGTGCATCCCAAAAACTTGGTTTTCTGTTTCGGGCCAGGAGCTACTTCACTTCCAGTCAGCTGCTTATGATCTATAAGGCACAGATCTGAACTGTCCTAGAATACTGTTCCCATATATGAAGTGCAGGACCCAAACATACCCTGAAACTGTTGGATTCTGTCCAAAAAAGGGCAATTCGTCTCGTGGGTGATGCCTCGCTCACAAACTCACTCACTTCTTTGGAACACCGTAGAAAAGTTGGCGATCTGGTTCTATTTTATAGATATTTTTCTGGACGATGTGCTCTTCTGAGATATCAACAATTGTTCCTCCCTTGGCAGTCCCCGCGAGATTGACCCGTCGAGTTGAGGCTTCGCACCCCTTCGTGGTCACTTTGGAGACCTGCAGAACATCTCTTTCCAAAGACTCGTTCATCCAACGAACAGCGAGGCTCTGGAACACATTGCCAAGGAAGGTGTTCCCCGAGGCATATAACCCTCAGAAATTCGAGGTGAACACCAATTCCTACCTCATTTTCCTTGGTTCTCACGATGTTCTCTGAACATTACCGAATATCCCTTTTCGTGGGAACCAGAACATGAAAAAAACTATTATTCAAGTTCATACATCTCAAACTTCCTGCATAATTACAAATTGAGTCAGTATAACAGAATAATCCTTTCGCTTCGCCTTCGGCGTCGGGCTGTTATACCAACTGGCTTTCGGAAGTATGCGACAAATTATTTCGGAATTGTCAATAAATTACCTTGGGATATTATGAGTGAACATTTTTGAAAAATGTGCGCCTGTACCATACTACATCTTTCAACTGTTATTGAATGTCTGGCAACATTGCGAAAGTCATTGATTACTCTGGTGTTTGTGATGTCACGAAATTCCAACACTTGCGTTGGGCTATTAACCTCTGAAGATTTGGGAAAGTTTCAGGCAAACTTTGAAACTCATTATCTTCCAGAATATTTTCTTCGACAAATGTATCCTTTTATTTCGTTTTGTTTTTTCATCTCAGATCATCTATTTCATTGATCGCCCGAATTTCGGAAACACCTAGTAAACTCTCTTTTTTCTTCTTTTCAGAACGAGAACATGTCCGGTGGCGACTCCAGCGACAGCTGCAGCGACGGCGAAATGGACTTTGCACCCCCGGACACCCCCAGCATATCCACCATCTCACCTCCGTCATCCCCTTTTCCACAAACCCCAACCCCCACCGTTCCCCCCACCAGCTCTGGCAGCAAGCCCCCCACGTCCTCGGCGCCCCCCATGCTGTCCCCTCTGGTCTACCAGACCCCGCAAGGGATGATGTACGCCGCCACTCCCTCGGCAGGGGGGATGATCTTGAGTCTCGCCCAGCCGGACGGCAGTTCGTCCAGACCTCAATTCATCACCATCCCGCTGTCGATGGTTGCGGCTAACGGTCAGGGAGAACTGGATTTGTCGAAGAGGAAATGACGCGAGTTTTTTTGTTTCTGCATTTTTTTCTAGGCCTATATAGAATTACGCTGACGTGGATCTTGTTTCCAGAATTCCATCACGCAAAATGCGTCATGAAGGTATAGTAAAAGATAAATTGAAAAATTTTCGAATTTTTACTTATCTTTGGACGTTTCGGGACCGAATCTGCTCCCGTTCTCAAGATGTAAATGCAAAATATTTTTCTTTGAAAGTTGTGCTGCTTATAGTTTGACACTTTTCAGTGTCATACTGATGTTGACATATGAATGAGTGATTTTAATCTACAAATGAGTTACTTCAGGATGTTTTCATTAATTGATCTTGAATCTGCCATTTTCATGTTCAGTTTTCAGTAGTGAATACCATGTTCTATCCATATCAACTCAACAGAAAGCAATGCTATTGTCTCCGTTTAGAAGAATGCAAGCGGATTCCTTGATTTTTCTTTTTTGGTTGTTATCTTCGTTTCCTATGATTGCTTCTTGTTCAATTGATATATTTAGATAGAACATGGTATTCACTACTGAAAACTGAACATGAAAATGGTAGATTTAAGATCAATTGATGAAAACATCCTGTAGACTGAAATCACTCATTCATATGTCAACATCAGTATGACACTGAAAAGTGTCAAACTATAAGCAGCACAAGTTCCAAAGAAAAATATTTTGCATTCACATGTTGAGAACGGGAGCAGATTCGGTCCCGAAACGACCAAAGATAAGTAAAAATTCTATAGTTTTTCAATATTTGTTTTCTTCAAACAATTTTTCATACTAATTGTCACTGACAAGCTACTTGATTTTTCTTTTAAATTCCCTGATAGAAAAAATTTTTAAACGCAGTGACATTTTGGGGCAAATCATCTGATTGGTCCCACTACAAATATATTGAAATAATACGAATATTTTTATTTCATAGAAACAAGGAGAGAAAATCCCAAAGAATAGAATTAAATCAATATGCAGTTTTCACCAACATCAGTTTTTTTTATCTAGTACGGAACAGGACTTTCCCTTCAAAAGTGTCCAATTTGACCTACCTTGAACATAGGGTGCATTCAAGTTGTGATGATCCAAGATTCAAGATTGGATAGAAGTTGATGAAATACACTAAAACCTCTTACAATCAACATAATATTATGGTCGGAAACGGTTCTCTATTCAGATATACGGCGATGAAGTTTTACGAAAATTAAGAATATTACAATATTGTGGATAGATGAAACAAAACTCTGAGAGAGAAATTAGCGTGGATCATTCATTAAAAGATGCTATACGCCGAATTAGCATGGATTAATCAAGAGGAAGAAGATCCACGGAAAACATTGATGTCACTAGCTTCATGACGTATTTCGCGTGGACGAATTCTACACGTCCTTGTTGTCGTGTGACAATGGTCTGTTCAATGACAGGTCTGTTGACGACCGGGACACTCTCTTAGGGAATGGGGTCTGCTGGAGGTGTCTTCTCTTAGTAGAAGATCCGAACCTAAGTCGACCTTCACCGAGCTGATAATAGAACGAAATATATTTTATCATGAATTTAGTATATTAGAAAACATATTAAAAATGGGTTGGCTAAAAAAATCCTGGGCAGACTATTTTTAATTATTTTTCGAAAAATGATTTTTAATTAAATGTTGCAACATCAGGATAATAAAAAAATTTTGTCCTGACTGAAAGTATAAAACGTTTAGAATGTTCAGCCGTTGGGTTGTTTACTATTTACCTGGGCGAACTGCTGGGTTGTAGGTAAACACAGGTATATCGATGCCAGTTACTTTCACTGGATTGGATAATTAAAAAAAATTTATATCATCATAAGCGCTGTTTAATTGCGAACACGTTGATATAGGATTCTCTGCGAAAATTCCGGTCCTATTAGGGGTTTGCGAATTTTAAAGATTTTAATTTCTTTACGCGCGTGAAAGTGTGTGACAGAGAGATCCGAGGTAAGTATACTGTGTAATAATAAAGGACCCAACATCGCAGTCGCTTGTGATGGGACCCTGAATAGTAGAAAGTGCGCATGCTCGGTGTGTCAACTATGGAGGGTTGAGGTACCTCTACTACCCTTCATATAGTAAACAGTGCGTGTTATTTTGGAGCAACTGATATTTCAGTAGCAAAAAAAAAATTAATTAATTACATAATAATTAAATATATTTAATATAATACTAATATATAAAAACAATATAGTATCAATATATTGCGTTATAACCATAATAATATATCTATAATCTTTAATAGACAATAAAAATATCAATTACTTACTTTGAAATTTTTTTGCTCTTTCTGGAAATAGAAACAAAGTGGACCGCCAAAAATTCAAATTACGAAATAACAAAAAAAATAGACTAGACATCTTGTATTACGATTTAAAATTTTATTAAAAAACAGTATGAATACAAAAATAATATTAATGAAAAATAAATTCTAATAAATATTTTCTATTCAATATCTGATTCATCAGAAGTATCATTTTGACTCTCGAATTCGTCTGATTCATTAGATTCTTCCTCATTTGCCAACCAACCATAGTTTTCAGGATTTGACTTCGCACACTTCGCACACTTTCTACTATTCAGGGTCCCATCACAAGCGACTGCGATGTTGGGTCCTTTATTATTACACAGTATACTTACCTCGGATCTCTCTGTCACACACTTCCACGCGCGTTGAAATTAAAATCTTTAAAATTCGCAAACCCCTAATAGGACCGGAATATCAACGTGTTCGCAATTAAACAGCGCTTTTGATGATATAATTTTTTTTTAATTATCCAATCCAGTGAAAGTAACTGGCATCGATATACCTGTGTTTACCTGACAACCCAGTAGTTCGCCCAGGTAAATAGTAGACAACCCAACGGCTGCACATTCTATACGTTTTATACTTTCAGTCAGGACAAAATTTTTTTATTATCCTGATGTTGTAACATTTAATTAAAAATCATTTTTCGAAAAATAATTAAAAATAGTCTGCCCAGGATTTTTTTAGCCAACCCATTTTTAATATGTTTTCTAATATACTAAATTCATGATAAAATATATTTCGTTCTATTATCAGCTCGGTGAAGGTCGACTTAGGTTCGGATCTTAGACTATCTGGATCGAAGTGTAACTCAGTTATTCACTGTCAAGTGACAGGGATATCAAAACCTACCCACTACTGTGTGTTCTTTGCATAGAAGCATGACTCTGCGACAGCCTTTTCGTTTTTGTATTTTCTTTGAGGTTGTTTCTAGAACCACGCTCACGTGGATCTTTTTTTCAGAATCCCTCCACGCAATATGCGTCATAGACGTAGTAACATTAGCGTTTCGCGTGGATCTTTCTTGATTAATAATTCACGCTAATTAGGCGTGTATAATGAAAAGATCAATTTCTTGTCTTGAAAGCCGCTGTAGTTAGAATTGGAATTGAGAAAAAAATTGTTGTATCTGACAAGTCATTTCATTTGCTTTTTGGTTTTTTAAAATCAGATAATGAATGGCGGCGCTGTAGCTTGGGGTGTTTTTGTCAGTCAACCTGTGTACTTCAAAGAACAACTTGTTTCTGTTCACACCATCATGACTAGTGCATGTTTATTACAAAAAACATATCATGGGTATATATGGATTGATTATGAGGGAGTGCTCCACGCGAAATTAACGTGGATTAATGAAGAGGAAATAATCCACGCGAAACGTTGACGCATTTCGCGTGGAGGAACTCTCAAAAACTAGCTCCATCTAGTGTGGTTCTAGACACTGTCTTTATTTTTTCTGTTGATGGTGGGTACCATGGTGCGTACAGTCTACAAAACTTTATTTGAGTCATTTTGAGAATAATAGTTTATATATAAACATAGATTTGTTCCCGAAATTTGGTGAAAATTTAATTCGTCTTTCCAACATTTATTCTTTCTTTTTCACAATTTTTTCGAGCAAAGTGACAATCAGAAAATAATGCCTCTTTCACTTCCTCATTGGTGAAATTTTCTACATAGTGACATTTTTTTGCATTTCTCGGTAGTACACAGTCTCAGTCATCCCAAAAATCATCAAATTATTTTTCAATCTTGAGTGCGTCGATCATCTTATTTCACGCCCTTTGAAGAGTGAGAACTAATGAGAACACGCTTGTCAACACTGACATTTTCGGATTGTCATCATCCTCAGATTTTAAATGTCAATTCTGAAAATTGGCTATGTCTTGTTCGTTAACGATTATTCTAAGATAAATGGAAACGAGAGTACAAGTATTTGTTGACGCTTCCTATACTGATTTAATGGAAATAAATTCAATGATATAATATCGAGCATTATGGCTGATTCACCATAAATGTCCTCACCTCTAGCTCAGTTATTCTTGAATCGATCCCAACATTCGAAGAATCATTTGGAATGATTTTTGATAAATTTTTTTCCTGCTACACTAAAATATTCAGGGTGCTTGGAACAAACGATCTACTGGGTACTAGTTGATTTTTTATATGGAATACCCTGTATTTCATCGCATTTTCATATTCTTCCTGGAGAGTTGATTTCATCAATGCATCACACTTGGGGTCTAGCGGGAATGATTACAGAGATATATAGGCTGTTCAAAATCGAGATTTTGTAACATTAGGATTTTTTGGTGTTGAAACTATTCATTATCGGTCGGACATCTGATAATTGGAACAGACACAGGGTGACCAGAATTCTGAATCTTGAACCACACTGTATTGTTCCAATTAAATGTCAGTAGATAGTAAATCAAGAGTAGAGATGGGGACATGTGAGTCGTTTAGACCAATAATGAATAGTTTAGACACAAAAAAAAAAGTTGAAAAACCTTATATATCTCAGTAATCATTCCCGCTAGGCCCCAAGTGTGATGCATTGATGAGATCAGCTCTTCAGGGAGAATCTTAAAATGCAATGAAATACAGAATGTCCCATTTGAAAAAATCAACTTGTACCCTGTAGATCGTTT